ACATCACTTCGTCCAGCCTTGGAACAAACAACCACCGCGCATTCGCACTTTTACTTCGCGGTGGGAAATCATTGGAGATGGTTTGTGAGGCTGGCAGCGATTGCGAGGCTTGGCTTGTTGCTCTCAAGCGTCCACTGCATTTGAGGACTCCTGCGGAAAGGCTTCTTGAGGAACGACGGGGTACGTGAAGAGACGCACGTGCGCAGCCAAGCGATAATGACGTGGAAATGCGGTGGTGTGTCCCACTTGACATCCGCAATATGCGAGGATTTGTTTCTTTGGCCCCCGATGCAGCAGCTCTTTGCGGCGAGGATCACATTCCGCCGGCCCTCTTCCTTCGGGTGGAACAGGAGCTGGCTGAAAAGTCTCAAAGGAGCACAATGACCGCCTATGAGGTCCGAGTTTGCTCGGGCCTGGATCTCTTTTTCTCTGGCCGACTTTACGGCTACTTGTGCGAAAAGCGTGTCGCTCCGCCTCCGTACTAATGCCGTGGGATCTTTTATTGTTTTTCTCTCTTTTCCCCATGGCTATTTGTGGTTTTCTTGTGTGCTCTTTTGGATGTATTGAGGCGGCTGGTTGGAGAGAGGCTAACTGCCGCACAATTTTGTGTGAAGAGGACTTTTGAACCCCACGTGTTTGGGCTACTAGCGAGTGAAGGGAAGAAAAAAAAGGGGAGATGATGGTCACCACCACCAGTACTACTGCTGCTGTTTTTTTCTTTTCTTTGCTGCCAGTTTGAAATGGGCTATCCATCATTTCTTGTGGGTGTTCCACACCCCTCTTCTCTTTCCTCTGTTTCTGGATGCGTGTTTTTAGCACCGCCGTTGTGTGGCCGTTGCTTTGCCAACATGCATACGGGGGTGGTGCTCCTTCCCATAGATGTGCCGTGAAAAAATATTAATATATTTTCAAATGCGCCGTGTGCTTCTCTGTGTGCGTGTAATGTGGGGCTTAGGCCTCACTCAGGCAGTGGAATGACACCTTTGCACCATTGCGAGGCGGCCGACGGTGCGGTGCACTAGCACAACAAACTGTGCGTTTCATATCATACAGAGTATTCGCTGCTGTGGGGATTGAACACTTGTTTTTTGGTGGAACTACCAGGGCTTATCCACTGGGTGCGGTGCGTTGATTCGGCAAAGAGAACGGAAGGACGTCCTCTATGAGGTGTGCCTGTGGAGGGAGAACTGGACTGCTACCTTGGTGACTATAAAATATTGGTATTTATCTGAAACGAGGGGGCGCATCGCTGTGCATGACGAGACTTTATTCATACGGACGTGAGGCGGCGGGTGGAGGAGGCCAACGGGCATGTGCAATACGAGAGCGATGCCATTGTTGCCTGTTGAGATGATTTGAGCAGTGATGACGATGACGATGCGGCCAAACACTCTCAGGTAGAAACGCTCTTCTCGATGTCAGGATATTAAAGTTGCACGGTAATGTGCCGCAGGTTGACCGGCCCTCTTTTTGTGGGTTTTCCAACACGTCGGTGGAGCTGCTCGGCGTTCTCCAGAAGGGTGTTCTGTTTTGCACAGGTGTGGCTGCCCGAGGATTGTATCCGCCGCGGACGGACTGAACTGTGCACGACGACCCTCAGATAGATCCAGCGTGTTGTACTCACCGCACTGGACGGTCAATCCCGCATTGGCAACGTTGGGGACTCTCTGCTGTTCCTCATGCCACACGAGGCGGGATGCATCCCATGCGTGAGGGCCCTTTATCGCCAAAGAGAGAGGGATCAGCGGCTCCTTACGGGACATGAGGCGGCAGCAGCAGCAAATGGAAGAATGATAATGCGACTCGTCTCTTTACACCACCTGACGACGTTGGACCCAAAAGGGGAACCACATGTGAATGCAGAGCACGGCGCACTTACTTGTGCACTGTTGTTTGACCTGTCGTGAAGCGGGATGGAGCCGTCAATGACTCACCTGGTGGGGATGCGAGCTGGAACGATGACCTCGCCCGAATTGCATCGTGTGTGTTCCCATCGTACATGCGGGCGCACGCAGGGCACTCCAGAGAGCCTATAAAACGTTTTTTAAATTTGTGTATGGTCACATTGGTCGCGTCGCACACGGTTTCCTTCTTGGCAAGAGACCCGGTGATGTTTGAGCACAACTGCAGAGCTTTATTGGGGAGGACGCGAAGACCGCGAGAGAGGCGTCTTCTCTCGATGCACAGGAGGGCGGAAGAGGGTGCGAGGGCTTTCGAGGTGGGATGCGACTGCGGTCGGAGGTGCGTCACAATGATTGGCCGCGAAGCGTGATTGTGCGGAGGCAGCGCAGTGTGACTTTTAGTGCTGCTGGGTGGGGAATTGAACGGAGGCTGGCACGGAGTGAAGAGAGAAGTGACACACCCACGAAGCAAGAGGCCAATGTTGCAATGAAGTTGGTGAAGTGTTTTCCACGGGATGAGCCGAGATGTTTCTCCCATGGCGCTTAGCTGCGCCCGCGCCAGCCCGCGTTTTCTATCTTTTTGGCTCCACAGAGTGTCCAGGCTCTTGGTTCTTGCTTGCTTGGCACTCCTTCACCATGGGAGTCAACGAGTCACGACGAACTATTGGGATGCCAAACCCACGGGAATTGTGGGCTTTAGCGTGGTCAATCTGGATCAGTGAGCGGAGACCTGCGGCACCTCATTCTGCGGCGAGTATCTCACTCACTGTCACGGGTATCTGCGCCTGTGTGTGTCTGCCCCATGACCGGCATTTGTATGGCGCACGCCCTTTGAAAGGCTGAGGGAAAGGGCGGGGATCCCCACGGGCACGTGTCTGCAGTCATAATGCGTAAATTGTGGACTTGTTTGTGCGGCAAGGCAGCAAGGTCGCTCAGAAGATGCAGCATAGACTGGGAGTACACTTTCTAGCGGCGCGTGCTTGATGACTACCGAGGCGAATGCCCCAAAGGGACGTATGTGGGTGATGCGGATGCACTGGATATGCACAATGCCATGCCTCGTGACAGGGAGCGAGGGATGAGTGGCGTGTTTCCTCGTGCCGTGGACCTGTCAACTTTTGAGGAGTTGGAGTGAAGCTAAGTGGACAAGCGTGTGTGTCTTCACCTTCTTGCGGGAGGACGCGCGGAGGTTGGATTTCTTTTGTTAATCTGTTCGGTCGCTGTGTCTGTGTTGACGTTATTATTATTTTTTCCAGGGGCATTCATTGTGCGATTTGTGCGTGTTTGATGTCCAACGTTTTCCGCGCCGCCAAATATGGTGTTGCGCAGGATCGGAATAAATGGATGTGCAAGAGCATTGTGTCGCTCGCCCGTAATAACACACACACGCGCAGTTTCAGTGAGTCTGATACGTCACGTTCTTCAGACCGGTCGGAACCACTTGTGGGACGTCACTTCATTTGCGGCGTCGCGACAGCGAGGGAAATGGAGAGATTTGCCGAGAATGTAATGCTCCTCCATAATACCGCAGGCTGGCGGCGACAATGATCAGAGAGCTTCTACTCGACATTGAGAAGACGGCAGCGCTCTGATGATCCGGTTTGCTCTTTAGGAAATTGTAATGTAGTGTACACCGTGTGGGCCTTTTTGCTGCGGATATGCAGAGGGGCGATGTGGGGTGGAATTATTGTTGAAGGCAGCACGGACTCCGCCTGATCTTTATGGGAGGGATGCGTGGTGTTATTTCGTGCTTCCTGGCCTGCGTTGTCGCACTCATGCTGTGAGTGCGGATGGCCACAGTAGTGGAGCTGAATACGGTTCAATGTGTGTTGCTCACGGGGACTGCGCGACACATGTTTTTGTTGGGTTTCCCAAAGGAGGGGCGCATCGTCGTTGCGTGATTCCCGCGGCAGTCCATTACCCTGCGACTGTGCGTGCCGCCGTCCGCTGCGCCACTGCAAGCCTTTGCCTTTGTGAGAAATGGGGAGCGTGACTGCTGTGGCGGTGGTCGAATGTTCTCGAATTGGTGCTTTTGTTGATCCCACTTAGAGCGCCGAGCAGCGAGGGGCCGCACACGCCCAGGAGGTGGGAGTGTGTGCTGCAACCGCACCTGCGATTTGTAGTTGGGATGTGACATGTTTCTTTGGTCTTTTTATTTTTGGTGATATGCGGGGCAGCGGTGTGTTTGCGTGTGCGTGCTGCTCATGGTTGCGGGTGTTGCCTTTCCTGCTGTTCTCCCGCTCAACTCCTTTGCGTGCGAAGGACCAAACGGTTTTACGGGCGTGTGGTGCGGCCGCGTTCTTGTTTGGAAAAAAAGCCTTTCGCAGGCATCATGATACTGCCGTCCGTGCCACACGAGGCAGTGGGGAGGTTCCTGGGATTTATTGGCGGGGCGGCACCGCACCCATGCCGTGTGGTTGATTTGTATTCCGCAGTGCACGGTGGGGGGGATGTGCGGTGACAACTTCCTCCAGTGGAGCGACACGAGCAGCACGGGGAGCTGAACGGAGGAGTGGTGGCTGCGTGCTTCCAAGTGATACATGAATGGCGAATGCAATATGAAAGGCAGCGTCACGGCACTCTTTTGCCATGCACACCGCAGATATTTTCTATAAAGCATGTAATTGCACTCTTTTCTGTTGTGTGGGGGATTACCGTGATGCATCGCTGTTGCGGTGTGTATGATTTGTGGTTCTTGCGTGTGGCCATTGCTGCACCGAATTTACTTTTTATTTTTTGTGCGTGTCAGTGGCGGTGTGCCCCCGTCCTCTTGCCGAGTTTGTGCGGTGACGGCGGTGCCACACGGGTGTGGGACCGTGGCGAGCGGTATGCGTGGAGGAATCCTCCGTGCGCACCACGTTGTTGTTGTTGGCTCTCACCAACACTGTGCTGGGTGGATGGCATCCACATATCGTTGTGATGGTCCTCGTGCATGTGGTGTGCGTCGAATACTGTGCCGTCACACTGTGTAGATGACTCCCTTGTTGTGGCTTCGAGCCATGACTGTGCCTGTTGTATTTCTTTTTTTCATTCGCCCTTCTTGTTTGGTGGCCATTGTTTAGATTTAACTCAATCCAACCAGGAAGACGAGGAGAAACGATGTCTGGAAGGCCGGAGAGTGTACAAGGCGGCAATGTGGAGAGTCGAGCGCCTACTTTGCCGCAAGGAGATCGTCAGAGGAGAGCGAGGTCGGACTTCCATACTGAGACCGATCAACCCGATGCGACTCGCAGAGGAGTGGAGAAAAGGCAGCAACCGAACTGGACCCTTGACAGTTGGGTGGAGGATGTACTGCTGGAGGGAAAGGAACGCATCACCAGCATGGGGCTGAACGAATTCCTTCGTAATTTTTTTGGCGGCATGGGCGTTGTGGACACCAATGAGGACGTCTCTATGGAGAGTTTTCTTACGAACCCTTTTTCTTTCTCCAACGGCGAAACGTCATTGTGCACAATAGCGGAATCGCCGTTATGCCGAGAGACGAAAATACTATTGGAGGCTG